CAACCCCAACCCCCACTCCCACCTCACCAAACCCTAGCTGGTCCAGTTCAGCTCTTGGTCTGAGCGCAATATGCAGCTGCTCCGCATTTGATGTTCAAAGACACAAGGATGGGAGTGTTATGTCAAGGTGTTCCTTTGGATACTGCAGGATCTGGTTCTATCATCTAGAGGATGTGGGTTCCAGGATGTGATATAACTTATTAACTCATTCTCTCCGATTTGTTTTCTTTTTCTGACGTTTTTTTCCCCGAGACCAAAAAGACAAATTACGTGCATCGAATATTAGGCTCTTCGTTATAAAAGAGTATAACAATTTCGTCTTCAGTTCATCAAACGTGAGGGAAATACTCTCCTCACGGTGAAATGTCGGACGGCAGAGTTTCGGGGAGATAGGGTTTGATCCATAGTGTAAAGCAAATATTTTGATCTTTATCTTTTGTGTAGGTTTCTTTTTAAGTAAGACAAGTATTTTTTTTTAGTGTATATGTGTGTGTGTTTGTGTGTGTGTGTGTGTGTGTGTGTGTCGTTGTATTATTTGTTTACAATGTGTGGCATCGTTGTGAAATAAGATCCTAGTCAACATAATGAAAGCGAAGGAACTGACATTTTCACGTCCATTTGAGCTATTTTTTAATTTTTTTTTCCTTTGCTCAATACCTGTAATGCCCATACCAAAACATTTCTGTGGAGATTTTTTTGATAAATATTGACAATAGGCACAAATAATGTATATTTGCTATTTCCAAGGACACTCAAGCTTTGGAAGTCATCAAAATTTGACTCCCCATTTCTCGCTAATTTTTCTGGCAATCTTTTAATAGCAGATATATCGAATTCTGTTCAAGAATAACGCGAATTTTTCATAAAAGACAATACTAGTGAACAAGCTTCAATAAATTCATATTCCCAAACATTGTCGAGCGTCTTCACACAATATTATGCATGCCTGGTGTGTTTAAATGGATTATTCAGTGAGTACCTGTGTTCGTACGTGTACGTTTATATGAGAAGGTATATGTATTGTCATGTGGGAGTGTGTTGGGGGAGGGGGGAGGAGGAGGTGTGTGCGCGTGCGCATGTGTGCATGTGAGATGCGTCTCTCTCTCTCTCTCTCTCTCTCTCTCTCTCTCTCTCTCTCTCTCTCTCT